ATAGTGCAAGATGGTATCTGGCATGGCACAAGGTTACATATTTATTTATGTGAGTAGATCAGAGTTGTGTGAAGAGAAAAGTAGCTTTGCTATGATCACGTTTGAGACCTATTAGTTTCATCCATTCTAGGTATTTTATGAGGCAAAAGGATTAGTGAGGTAAGCTTAATCAAGAAATGCCCTTTTAAAATCATGTGTGTGTGTGTGTGCACGCGTGTGTGTGAGTGTGATGTGGTTTCATTATGTTGCCCAGGCTAGTCTTGAACTTACAATCCTTGTGCCTCATTTTCCCAAGTAGCTGGGGTTACAGGCCTATGCTACCATGCCCAGCAAGAAATAGTCTAAAGATATAATAATACTATCTTTGAAAATGGCACTATAACTATTATTATATTTATGTTTTTGGCTTCTACCATTTAGGTACTGCTCTAAAAACTTCATTTAGGTTATTGCATCCAATCTGCAAAGCTATCCCTCCAAGAAGATACTTTTTTATAAGTCAACAAAGAATATAAGTAGCCTGAGGCAGAGCTAAAGTAATTTGTCCAAGTTGTTAGAGTTGGCAAATAGGAAAGCCAGGAGCCAAACTCAAGCACGTCAAGGCAGCCTGACTTGACTTTTTTGTTTTCCAAACTGACAGACAGCAATATATATATATATCTCAAAAGCCATCTACTTGCTATTTCTTTTTCTGGACATTCTAAAGAGACATTCTTTTCTGGCCCTGAATCAAGGCTGGCAGCTTCCTGATGCTGTTGGTTTTAAGCAGGAGCCTAAAGAGATGTCTTTCTATGATCTGTTGGCCATTTCAGAACTTGGGCAGTGAAATGGTCAATTCAATAGAAAGAAACAGCAATCCCCTAACCCCATGAGCGGCTGTGAGCATGGCAGGCTCCAGTGGCCCAGGATAGGGGTATACTGTCCAGTATACTCCGGTGTATACTGGGACCCACACCATTCTGGGACCTGGAGCACGAGGAAACCAAGCAACCCCTCCCCACTGCCTGTTTTGTTTTGTTGAACTTCAATATACATGAAAGTATGGACAGCTATTTTGAAGAGAACGAGAGACTCTACGACAGCCATTAGAGATGTCTCTATTGTCTGGTTTTGAAGACCTAAATTGCCTTCCTCATTCTGTTTGGATCAGTTTTATACTATGTTGTTTGTATGAATTCTCTGTATGCAAAGACATGGATAACTATTTCGAAGAAAACAAGAGACCATATGATAGGCAGTGAAGATCTCAGGTTGTCTAGCTTTGAAATTTATATCTCTTACATTGCTTTCGTAAATCCTATTTTTTCTGTTTGTTGTGTTTAATTTTACCCCCTTTAAAATAAAAATAAAATTTAAAAAAAGAGACATTATTTTGTTTTAGCAGCCCAGTTACAATCCCTTGTTGGCTTTTACTGAGCTTATTTTTAAATTTTTTTTTTATTTTAGAGAGAATAAAATCGAGCAAAATAAAACAAAATAAATTCAATCAAAACAAGACAGTGTGACACAGAATTTCAAAACAAGATAATAGGAAATCAACAATGGTTACCATAGTGCCTCTTTGCTGTCTTCAGAATAGCTGCTCTTCAGACACAGTAAAATCAAACCAAGCAGAAACAGGATAGAATCAATAAAAACAAAATAATGAACTCAATACCGGACTTCAAAACAAGATAATAGTAAATCCAAAATGGCTACCATAATATATCTTGTTATCTTTGACATACTTGCCCATGCTGTTGGATATAATAAAATTAAACAAGACAAAACAGAATAAAACTCAACCCAACAAAACAATAGAAATGATACAGGATTTCAAAACAAGATAATAGGGAACCAACAATGGCTACCACCTTTAGAAGGAGATCCCCCTTAGATGCCCCACACTGTGTAATTTTATCCTCTGAATAGACAGACTGCTGGTTTTAGGCCGGCAAAGTCAGTGAAACACTAAACACTACAAGCATTATGTTGTATTATACCTCACTAGCTATCATCACAGCCTGTGTTTCTCTGGATCAGCTGGTCACTTACAGGGGTGGCGGGGTGGTGGGGGACATTGGCTCTTCATGTCTCCCTGCCCATGTGCCACAAGGAGATGGCGTCTGGCTCTTCCCCAGTCAGCCTGTGCATGGCTTCACTCACAGGTGGTCTTAGCTTCTGTTGGTTTCTTATCCTCCTGCCATGCAGTCTGCAAATGGCCTGAGCTTGTAATCATTGATAACTTCAAGGTCTTTCTCATCTGATGTGCTACTAAAATAAGCCAATTCTTTAGACACGCAGTTAATTTCATTTATTTATTTATTTATTTTGGGATACTGGGACTCACTCAGGACCTTGTGCTTTCCAGGCAGACACTTAATGCGGTTAATGTTTTTAGATCTAAATTCTACCCTGTATTCTCTCCTCTGTTTGGCTTTGGTCAGTGTGCATTGTATATGGTTCCGTCTTGCTGAGCTATGCTACTTCGGCTGTATGTCACCAACAGAGCTGATGAATATACCTGTCACCTCTCCTGGGTTGCTAATAAAATTGTCAAGTAGAATGGGACCACTGACAGGGGCTTATGTCTGATCACAATCACAAGTATGAGGTCTTATGAGACTACCTCAAAGCCTTTATTTGCATTGTATCAGGCAAATCTCTTTTTCCTTCCTTTCCTCTCAGACTTTCTCAAGCTCGGTCCCATTGACATTTTGGGTTGGAGAATTCCTTGTTCTAGTGAGTGGCTGTCCTGTGTGTCCTGTTTAATGGCATCTTTGGTTTCTGCCCACTAGATGTCAGCCTTGGGCTTCCTCTCACCAGATAAGCAAAAATGTCTCCAGACTGCCAAAGTTCCCTGTGGGAGCAGAACTGCTCCCCTTCCTATGTACGGCCTCCATTCTAACTTAATAACTTAATAAATGGATTGATTAAACAATCAAATGTGCATTAAGGGCCTACTGTTTGCCTAGAACTTGAGGGTCTCTATAAACACTTTGACTCAGGGAAATTTTACTTTGAGAGATACTACCAGCCCCACAAAACAGCTGGGGTGAGAGAGGGATCTATTTCTAAGTGATTCATTGTGAACCCATACTTCATGCCAGTAAGAATTCAGAGAAATGATAATACTATTGAGGAAAGAGGTAATTTCAGTAGTTCAAACACCATTAGGTTGGATGGTTTGCACCAGGGTAGGCATAAGGTATACCTTCTAAACAACACACACACAATGTGTGCATGCATGCATGCATCATATATTTGTATACCCTATATATGTATCATATATATCCTACATACTTATATATAGCTATATATATATATATCATATATATTTAGGAATCTCTATTTTTGTACATAGGTAAACGCCTCAAATATAGGCCATGCCTTTTTCATCAATAATCTGACCATACCAGCAACATGGGAGGTCAATCAAATGGACAACTATGTTTGAGTGTAGCCTGACCCACTTAGTGAATTAATGAGACTGCCTCAAAAATAAAAAGGGCTGGGGGGTGTAGCTCATTGTGGAGGCCCTGGCTTCAATCCTCAGTAACATATACACACACACAGTTAAAAATTAGAACATAATTTGATACATGGTTTGACAGTGGGTGGAACATATGATATTCTACTTTTCTTGGAGACTTTGAGGCATTTATTGTTGGAGGGCACAGAGACTGTGTGTGGAGGGGGACAGAGATGCAGGTGTGCAGAGTAAGGTGAACAAAGGTACAAAGGGCCAGCCAGGAACAGGATGGCACCAGGTCATGATGGACAACCTAAGAGGTCAGACAAGAGCAGAGATGGAGTAGACACAGAGGCGTTGAAACCTGGTGTAGGAGGTTAATCTCTGCTTGCTTTTGAGTGGAGAACAAGAAGAAAGGTATCAAAGTGAGACTGTCTGGCAGGGGCTTATTTGGGGCAAGTGCATTAGAAGGAGTTAGAAGGTTTGAACACGGAGATGATAGACAGTGAGGCGGTGGAGTGAAGAACAATGAACATTATAGAAGAGGCATTCTGGAAGGCCAACCAGAAGGACGAGGTTGGGAGGCTCTGGGGAGGGCTCTGGACATTTAAGATGAGGCTCTCCCTTAATCTAGGGCTAAAGGTCTTTTTTTGGAGATGGAAGAACAGTAGTGTCATTGGCATTACTTTCCTTTAAAATTCCGACTATGTTTCTTTTCCTTGATTAACCTCACCACTTTCTGGTTGTTCTTTGCCTTTGGGAAACGGTAATTTTAGTGAGAGCTGACATTTGATCAGGGCCAGGCATGCTGGTAGGAATGGGGCAGGAAGGACATGGAGGTATCTGTCTGTCATAATAGTGGCTTGGGGGAGTTGGATCAGGAGTGGTGGCATGAGCCACAGCTGCTGGTGGCCAGAGTAAAGCGTCTGCACTGGGTTGGGGTAGGTGACATTAGAAACTGGAGGAGGGTGGCTTCAGGCTCTGCCCCTGGCCCTTGGTGGCACTGTGAGCCTTATAGAGCTATCACAGCAAAAGGACACTGGTCTGAGACAAGCAGCTGTTTTCTTTCTAGCCCAGCACTTCATAGAACTTGGCTGGGGGGCGGGGCGGAGGCTGGGTAGGGTTCTCTTTAAGTGATTAGGTGTCTTTGCGGGAGCTTGCAAAGGAGCTAGTTTTCCTTTCTCTCTCTTCCTCCCTCCCTTTCTTTTCTTTCCCTGTCACACTAAAAAAGTTAAGCAGAGAGGTATCAGCCCCAGGAACACACCTCCAGCACGCTCCCCCATTTTGCCCTGGAGTTCATTTCCTGTTCTGTAATTCTAGGTCAGAACCTGACCCATCTTGTGATTGTAAAACGCGTGAACTTGCACAAATTTCAGTCTTCCCATCCCCGATGGAAGGAAACAGGAGTCAACAGGTGTATGAGCCTGTAAGAGCAACCCCAGCGTTCCCCACGTGAAGCCAGTGCGATCTTGGAGGGCCACAGGGCCTGCCCGCCCTCTTGTGGCTCAGCTGGGACCCCGCCCCGTCCACCGGACGGTAGATAAGGAGATAGAGTATAAAATGCATTTTTATTTCAAAATGCAAAATGTTGATCACTGTAGTAGTAATAACAATAATATAATAATAGTAATGGTAATAGTATAAAAAGCTGTTCTACCTCGCGCAAAACGACGGATTGGCAGCTCCTAATTACACCTTTTGGACATGTCACAATGCAGCGCTGCACAGCAGCAAAACTCAGTGCCAGACCCTCCTGGGGGGTCCGTGTTGCAGGTCCGCAGAGACCTCCGCGAATTCCCAGAGAGCCACGCTAGCTCTTCCAGGCAGCAGGGGGCGCCCTGGGAGGCGGCCTGTGTGTAGGGGTGGTCCCTAGGAGGCGTGCTGGCGGTAGGAGGGCACGCGGTCACACAGCTCCGGTCCCCGGCCCTTGTCCAGGACCGCCTGCGTGCGGGGTGCCTGGCACTCCAGTGCTGCGCGCAGCTCGGCCACCGCGTCTTCCTCGTCCCGCAGGCGACTGGCGGCCGAGAAGGGACTACACATGGTCTCCACCAGGCCAAGCACCACGCCGAACAGGGCCAGTACACTGCCCAGCACGTACAGCTTCACCAGCTTCCCCGTGGGCTTCTGCGCCACCAAATCCTTGGCCAGAGGGATGAGCTCCTGAACCGTTTCCATTGCGGCAGGAGCTAGAGAGGGTGACCTGCGGGAGAGCGTGGGCAGGGGGCCGTTAGCCGCGGAGAGGGCCGGGCCGGCACCTCGTGCGGCCCGCAGTGGCCTCCCCAGGCAGGCACGGCCGCGCTCACCGCGGGACCCTAGGGCGCAGCGTGCGGGGCGGCGGCGCGGGGGCTGCCGCGAGCGCGTGCTGGGTCCGCCGCCGGGGCCGCCTCCTCCTCCTGCTCCTGCTCCTCCTCTTCTTTCTACTCCTGTTCCTCCTGCTCGCAGCCGGGCTCTTCCAGAGGAGACTCTGCAGCTGGGACCCAGTCCGGGGCCCGCGTCGGCTTATATCTTTTGTTCCAGACCCGCCTTCTGGCTGGCCCCTGGCCTGGGCAGCCTGAGCCGGGGGAAGGCGGGGAAGAGCGAGAGGAGGAGGAAGACGGGGGGCGGGGAGCTGGGCAGGCACGTAGAGGGGCGGTGCATGCCTCAACCCACAGGCGGGGCGAGCTCCAGACCTGCAAGGCTGCTCCAGGGCGATCGAAGCCGCACTTCGGGGGCGGGAAGGGGCAGGACCCTCGGGGTGGTGTGCGCCTTCTTAGGAGTGACCGTTGTGCAGGGTTTCTGCTGTCGGGGCAGCTTGAGAAAGGCTCTTTGCAAGGGAATGGTGGGGGCTGGAGGAGCCCTGCCTAGGAAAAATACTTCATTTTAATCCAGAAAGGATTGTTACCGTCTCACGTGTGTGGTCATCTATGGGAGAGAAGACGGGGGTGGGGTGGGGTGGGGAGGACCAGGTAATAAACAGAACTGAATAGAGCCCCGAGCGTGGGATAACGTATTGTTTTCTTGCTTGCTTGATTTCAAAATTCAGAGTTGTATGTCTTGCTAGAGTCAGCTGATAGAGAACTTTTCATTGAAAGTGCTCCCTTGCAAGCACATAAGTCGGGAAGTGTGTGTGTGGGGGGGGTATGCTAGTCTCTGTACTTGCAAAGTGTTTCCATAGGTACTTCTGTGTGTGTGTGTCAGAGTACAGCTTGGAAAGCGGCCTGTTGAACATTTTTCTCATCTGGAAAGGAACTATTTCAGTAAGGCTTTGCCACTTCCCTGCGTCTCACTTCTCTGTGCCTGCCCAGAAGCAGTGTAGGATATGGTGTACATATGTGTGTCTGCTCTGTGTGTAGAGTAGTTTAGGCAAAAAACTAGCGAGGGGTACTGGAGGTGTGAGGATACAGAGTTGATTTGATTAGGATTAAACATAATCCCCTGGAAGGCTCTTTGGTTGTTGATAAACCAGAGTTATCAAAGTAGGCCAAAGGAGAGACAAATAGGCCAGAGGGCTTGAAACAGGGAGAGGAAGAGGCAGGGGCAGGGCCAGCAAGTTGCAAGGTCCCCCGTGGCTATGCAGCCTTGGACAGCCATCTGCATCCTGCTGAACCTGTGGCCCTAGAGGAAAAGGCCACCTTTCTTGGGGGCTGAGGTCATTTCCCAGACACTGCAGTCCAAAAGGACAGCACAGCAACTGCCCTCAGTGTGGGCTGTTAGTAGTTCGAGGAAGGATTTGAGGGCGGAAATTGGTCAAGGTTACTTAACTAGTTAAACGTTGCGTTTTAGTCTGTACTGTAGAAGTCAGGGTGACCAGGGGCCACGTGAAGATGGCTTTTGGGCAAACGTGTTCCTGCTTATTATTCTTTTAACCTTGCCATGCAGGAAGCAGAGCGCACCAAGTTTAAATCCAGTGTTGACATTTTCTTTGAATTTTCCTTATCATTTCAGAGCACTTTTTAATAACTGGAAGAAATGACAGGTGAGTGTCCCATGCATGGCAGTTCCCAGAAGAGCAGACACTGTCTCCCCAGCATGGGGCCCTTGCTTGGTTTCTACTATGAAGGTGATTCAGCCCAGCCTCAGACCCCAGACTCTGACACTGGCTGGGCCTTTCCTGCATTGTGTAACCCCTGGATGCGAACTGTGTGTCTTCTGCTGGTAGCAGGCTGTAATTTACCTGGGATTCCCCTTTTCTGTCCCTGACTGTGTCTGCTCCCTGTTACCCCTCTTTGGCTCCCAGCCCCCACCACCTGGCTGACCCAGGCTGGCAGAGGGGACAGCAGTGCCATGCCTCAGGTCTTGGGTAGGTTTGGTGCTGGTGAAGTGGGAGGTCATGGGAAGAGAAGGCCAAGGAACCCAGGGGTCAGTTCCTGGCTCCGCTGGATAGGGATGAGAACCCAGGTCCTGTGGGGTGAGGGACTGAGAAGGCTTGGGAACCCAGTGGGTACACTGGATGACATCACTTTTAGAGAAGTAAAGCCCTGTGTTGCATCATACAGGGGGACACAGCCACAGTGACTGACCATCCTGTTTCTTCAGGCTGAGCAGTTTTCTGAGATGCAGAGTTTACAGTATGAAAACGGGATAGTCTTAAGCATAATGGCACAGTTAGTCCCCTACATATATTAGTCCATTTTCTCCTGGGTAAGGTATAAAGATAAGGGGTTTATATTGACCTATGGGTCTGTAAGTACAAGGTCAAGGGGCCAGGTGATGGCCTTGTGACAGAGCCCTGATACATAACACAGGACATCACAAGGCAAGACAGAAGACAGAGCACATGTATTTGTCTCTTTTGTTCTCTGATAAAGACATTGGATTAAATTGTGGAGGCTTTATCTAACCCTAATCACCTGATTTAGTCTAATCCTCATCATCTCCCAAAGGCCTCACCTCTAGCCACTGTATTCAGATTAATTATACCTGTAATGTCTTACCCCCTTGACACTTCACACGGGGATTAAATCTCAACATAGGAAGCCTTGGGGACACACTCAAGCCAGATCCAAAACCATAGCAATGCCCTCAAGTCTACCTCAACATGTAACTCTTGCCTTTGGGGATGAGGAAGGGACTATTGTTAAAAATTTCCCCCAAATCTCTTTCTCTTGTGCATTAAAACACCCATATCCATCTTTAGAGGAAAAGGTCACAAAAGGACAATCCATGGTCTGAGTACCAAAGTACCAAGGAGAAAGAGCTGTCCCCAGATATTGAAGATATTGAAGATCCATGGAGAGGAGTCTTTTCGCTGGTTTTTTCCTGTGGAGCCTCAGCTATTAATATTATTATTTTGTTATCAGATACTTGCTGCTGACATCAAGTCAGTGCCACCCTTGTGATTCTGAGGGCTGGATGGGAGGGATCATTGTTGGCGATAGGATGAAACTATTTGTATGTCTGTAGAATTATTTCTCAGTCTTTGAGTCACTTTCATTTGATTTTATTGCTTGATGGATTTTTTGGGGAGGGAAGGATGTCCCAGTGCTCAAACTATTGTCAAGCTCCAATCCTCAAAGGATGATTTAAAAATGTAGTTTGAACAGTTCTCTGTCTGTGTGGAAACCCTGCTATTATCTCACACTTGACACACTCAAAACAAGACTTCTTTACATCCTGTTGTACTCTTTCAAGCTAAGTGCCCTTCATGCTATCTTTCTTTCTAGTAGTGCCATCTCTGTTAGACTGGCTCTCTGGGCTTGAAATATTGTGTGAGCTTCTCAGCGAGGTCTTCCCAGATAACCCTGCCCCATCAGCTCTCCCAGTGTCCTGCTTTACTGATCTGTGTAGATCAGGGCCTGAGTTTATGTTGATGGAATTATGGGTTTGGTTTTGTACTGTCTCTGATGCCCTGTAGTGGGTAAATTTCATGAAGGCTGGAACTTTGTTTTGCTCTTTGCTGTGTTCCCAGTGCCTAGTGTAATCCTCAGCATGTAGTAGGTCCTTAATAGGTAACCATGGGGTTGATGGCAGCCTCTGCTGTGGCCTGGGATGCCTGGCAATGGGGAGGAGGAGATGATGTCTACTGTGCTCGTATACTTTTAGTGGGTACTCAAAAAACTTTTGATTTGTTGCGGAGGACAGATTAATGCTGTTAGTATTTACCTCTAATTCACTCCAAGTATTAACCATAAAGGAATCTTCCCAGAATTTCATTTTGAGAACTGCTCTCTGCCTGTTTAAAACTCGAGATGAAGTCCTGATTTTCTCCTGCAGGACCCTCTGTCCCACAGAGGACTTTCTTCTCAGGTCAGGAAACGACTCCTTCTCATTGCTGTGCAGAGCAGTGGTTTAGCTCACTGCACACTTCTGCTTTCGTCCTGCTTGGAATCTGTCCTCTTTTTATTCTCTCTTCCTTCTTCCCCTGAGACCAAGTTTGAGTTTACATGCTCCAGGAAGCTGCCACTGCCCACGTCAGCACACCTTGATCCCTTGTTTCTGTGAACTCCTTCCTGTGGGGTTCCTGCTGCTCAGGTTGGCCCTGGACTGTATCCTGATTCACACAGCCAGCTGGTTATTTCTCATGGGCCTGCTTCATCTCCATTGGACACGGGATCTTGGTATTTTTCATGATGCCAGCGTATAATAGGGGTCAAATTAATCTGAAAGTCCTGCTGGCAGAGAGATTGCAAAATGCTTAAGACCCTCCCAGGAGGTTATTTTAGACATAGTAGGCTGTCCTTGGCTCAGAACCTGGGGGCTAAAATTGCCCAACCCCTGGCAACTTGGCTAAATTCCCTCAACTTTTGCCTCCTCACCTTTCACTTCCACTTTGTGTGGCGTGGCAGTCTTTGGCTCTCTCTGAGGCACCCCTGCAGTCTGCCGCTGGGACAAATCTCTAAGGAACAGGTTCTTCCTAGACGTTAGCTTCTGTTGTTCATGGCTCCTGGTCATGGAGAAGCCCCAGCTTCACGGGCAGGCAGGCTGTGCTGGGGTGCATGCACTGCCATGGCAGTGTTGGTTAGAACGCCTGAACCCTGGTGCCTGCAGCTTTTTCTGAATGCAGCAGCATGCTTTAGTCTGAACAGTGCAAGAAGCTTGCTTTAAGCTGAGTGCTAGTAGGACCAAGATTACAAGGCTCTGGAGTAAACAGACTTGGATTTATTGAAGTCCTGAATTCTCCACTTGTTAGAGTATAAACCTAACTTGTATGGCCTCTATTTCCTTATCTGTAAAATGAGAGTGATTATATTATCTATTAAATGGGATCTGGTGGAGGTAAAATGAACTAGAATGGACCTCAGTGATGTCTGGCACAAGGCAAGCCATCAAAATCAGTACATGCTAGGCGTTATTATCCATTTGTCTTTGTTTCCTGCTACTTGAACACAATTCCCATGGCCATTAATATCATCCCAAGACATGTCTACTTCCTAGGTGACATTGAGGCACATCCAGAAAGGCCCAGGAACATTTGAGGAAGTCATGCATGGACCTGACACTTTGTTAAGTGCAGTTATGAAAAGGAGAACAGTGCCTTTGGCCTGAAGAAGCTTATAATCAAATAGAGGACAAAGACATGCGGATACGTTATTAGAATAGGCATAGCAATAGGAATGATGGTGGTAAAAATAATAGACTAGCATGATAAATGTATT